ATATATAAATCACACCTGTTTCTTCTATTACACTCAACAGCATTTGATTAAGTTAGTCGAGGCAGGTGTGCTCGTTAAGTGCTGTAACAGGAAGGCTGTTGGGGCTGATGTTGTAAACCAGCGTAGATGCATCAGGTAAAGTTGAACAAACTGAAGAAAAATTATTAATTGTATTATGTCTATTTACTTCGCTGTGCACAATAATAGCTATGTGTTGGGTAAAATCGTTAGATATCACTACTAGGCTAATATCAGGGACGTTTCACATATAAACATGGCGGATCAAATTGTCAATATCACAGTCCAGAGTCCAGAAGTCGATTATAAGATAATATCGTTTGCCTTTTCATCGCGTCTTAAACTATTTTTTTTAGGAGAATGAAGTTCTTTAAATTGCACAATTAATAAATACTGTGAAATCGCGACGAACATACACATAGGCCTACCTTACTGCAGTCTGTCAGTCTTATCGGGAATTTCCACACAAAGGCGTTGGCAGTTTGGTATGGCGGCCTTAAGGGTTGTTAAATGTTTTATTGCACTCAACAAACCAAACATTTAATTATTTTGAACATTTAAAATGATTGAAGGTTATATTCCTAAACATATCAATGTATTTTACATTGCACTCCCCCGTAAAGGGACAGATGACCCAGCATTATTTTAAGACTTAAGTTTAAGTTTTTACCATTGCTCTTTTGTGTTCCTCAAAAAAAAAAAAAAAAAAAAATATATATATATATATATATTATAATAATAAAGGAAATAAATAACACACAACCAGTAAATAATGACATTTATTCTTTTTAAATAGTCCTGTAATGTTTTTAACATGTCAAAATTAATATGTGGTCACAGAAAACAAAATCATACTAATTTTCTAAGAATTAGAAAAACAGTTTAAAATGTCATCCTGCAAGAGATGTCATGCCATCTACCCATGCACATATTTTTCTTAGTACATACTGTAATCATCTTGTTCCTTCAGGAGCTGGATGTGATTCAAACTCATGTGCTGGAAATGGATGAGTCTGACATGCAGTATGAGGTAGAGAGACCGTTTCCCTACAGCCCTCAGGCAGGTGAGCAGCCAGCTGGCCCACACCTGAGCCCATCTGCTGGGTCACAGTGTCTTATCACTGCCCAATGAGGCATGCTCCAGAAGGGCTGTCCTGCAGCCCGGCGTGAAGTCTTATCTAAGGACATCTCTGCTTGCGCAGTGACAGCCTTCTGTGACAACTGTGAACCCCTAAATGACACGTGTGTGTGTATAGAGTTCCTACACACTTTGGCATAGCCGTGTGTACTATATAACATAAGTGTCATTTGTCTGTTATCATGCCATCCTCCAATTGCAAAACATAGACTTGGCTGACTAATGAAATTGAATTATCTAGGGCAGACCGGGGCTAGTTTTCTAAAAAAAAATTAACAGCAGCAGTTAAGTTAGTTTTCTGTCCATTTCAGTATGAAGTCTTGAATGAAAATATGAATATTTCCATCATCACCAGGGAAAAAGAGAGTTCATTTAAAACGCAATGAAAATGTTTTTAGTAAATGATGAGAATACTTAAAGGAAATGCTAAAAAAAATACAAATAAAAAGTCACCTTTATGCAATACAGATTGTGTTAAAGCAGCTTTACAGTGCTAAACAGGAAAATGTTTCAATGATGCAAACAAAACTCAATTCTGTTGTAAAGCAGCTCTAAAAGGAGGGCAATAATAAACAGTTAAAGTCAGTTCATAGTTAAAATCAGTTAAAAAGTTAAATATAACATAGACATATCAAACAATTGTTTTGCCAAACAAAACTAAATAAATTAAAATGGATGAAAAAGACTTCAGTTAACTTTTTTTTTTTTACTTATAAAGTTGACTTTGCTTGTGTGGTTTTATTGAGTACACTCATTTACCCAAATGGCTATTTGCAAAAATATTAGAATTACATTTTTAAAAGTAATGGCGCTTTATTGGTATATGTGGTTCTATCCATGAAGAACTGAACCTTTCCATTGTACAAAATATTGGTTATAGTTGAATAAGATTCTTAAATTATTATTTTTTTAAATAAAAGGTCAGTGTTCTAAGAACTGTTTAATGAAAGTTCTATGACATTACTGCAAAAGACACCTTTTAGGTGTATTTGGATGATTTAATTAACATAAAATATTGTAATTTAGGCAATTAATTTTATACTAGTGCTACTGTGTTTGTACAATTGGGTTTTTCACTCAACGCCTTACAGTTACTGAATTATATGGCCCAAATATAGCACTAGCCATGGACCTCCCTATCATGTATCACCTTAAATGACATTCATTATTTAAAATATAATGTTAATATTTTATATGATTATAATTAACTTTATAATCTTTCCTTCCTCAGGATTATTCTTCAGTATGAACCATGAGGAAAAAATAGATTCTGATAGGAGATCTATCTATGTGGGGAATGTAAGCTGCTTTCATTCTTAAGATCTCCTTTGCCAAGTTGTTACTGAAATAAGCAGAACAGATTTGAACTTTGTTTGGTATTGTATTTTATTCATGTATTACATGATTCCATTATTTGTAGTGTATGGTTATGGAAGACTACAAGCAGTATTGTTTGACTTACAGGTGGATTATGGAGCAACTGCAGATGAACTGGAGATGTACTTCAATGGCTGTGGCCACGTTAACAGAGTTACAATCCCGTATAATAGATTCACAGGACATCCAAAAGGGTATGTACCAATTTGGCCCCCCACCCCCAAAAAAAGTATATATATTTAACATAAAACATGTTTAATTAGTATATTTTCCTTGTAGTTTTGCCTACATTGAGTTTTCAGAGAGGGAGTCTGTGAGGACTGCCATGACTTTAGATGAAACACTATTCAGAGGACGTGTCATTAAGGTGAGATGGAAATGTAATGCAATGGGATATAGTTATGCATTACTTGGCAATGAGGCACCACAGCTGGATGTGGCCCAATCAGTTTTGGGGTTGACAGAGTGAACAGAAAAATATCATGTTCATTCTGATATTTTCAAGTATGATCTGAGCCACTTTCATGTGTGGGAATAAATTGGATAAAGGAATACACCATCTGTTGATGATGTTTTAGATTCAAAAATAAGGAAAAATAAAAGAAAATTGTAATCATGTCAGTCCGTAATGATGTCAGTCACAACTGAGCATTAGCTTTACCAACACTGCATTTAAAAAAAAATAATAATAATTGTTCTTCTGATGAACATGCATTCACTCTTAAATAAAGGTTCTTTATTGGCATTGATGGTTTCTTGAAGAACCTTTAACATCAATGGAAACTTTCCATTGCACAATGGTTCTATACAATGGAAAAAGGTTCTTCTGATTGTTAAAATGTTCTTCACACTAAGACAAAAGTGGTTCTTTTAAGAACTGTTCACTGAAAGGTTTTTTGGGGAACTTTATGAAAAACCCCTTTGGAACCTTTATTTTTTTAGGTGTGATAGGCTGCATGTTTCAGTTTAGTGTCTCCCACATTTTAATAATCCGTAAAAACAAAAACATGAGCTGAAAATCAGAATTGGGCACTATTGCTTGCGGTGATGTAGGCTTGTCAGTTTGTTTGTAATAAATCATTTTGGATTAAAATCTGTGACAGAAGACCATTTCACATCAAGCTCTTTGTGCACTAGGTATTGCCAAAAAGAACAAACATTCCAGGTTTCAGGACTACAGACTTGCGTGGAGGTTGGTCCCGAGGACGAGGTTTCCGTGCTTCGAGATTTTACAACCCATTCAGGGGCTGCCACTTCATTAGGTCAGTTCTGCCAATACATAACAGTAGGGCTGTGCAATTAATCACATGCGATTGTCAAGTGCATCTCATCAGTAAAGCCGGTTCCGTGATTGGTAGTAAATCAACATCACCTGCTTTCAGATGGAGCAGCATTTACTACACAGAGCCATAGTTCACTGACAAGCTAGGCAACATCGCGTTCATAATCGAATGCGATTCCTCTGCGGTTATGAACGCGATATTGCCTAGCTTGTCAGTGAACTACGGCTCTGTGTAGTAAATGCCACTCCATCTGAAAGCAGGTGATGTTGATTTACTACCAATCACGGAACCCGCTCTACTGACGAGATGCGCATGACAATCACATGCGATTAATTGCACAGCCCTACATAACAGTACCTCACATGATATGGAGCTTTAATTGTTTTAGAGCAGTGGTACATGACTTGCACTCTTCATATATATATATATATATATATACGGATTCAATATCCTTAGTGGTGATCTGGTAACCTTACACCTTTAATAAACAAACCCTTAAAGGGGTCGTATGATGTTGCTAAAAATAACATTATTTTGTGTATTTGGTGTAATGAAATGTGTTTATGCGGTTTAAGGTAAAAAAAACCACATTATTTTCCACATACTGTGGAAATTATTGTACATTATTGTTTCTCCTCTATGCCCCAACTTTCTGAAATGCGTCGATTTTTACAAAGCTCATTAGTCTGAAAAGCAAGGTGTGCTGTGATTGGCCAGCTATCCAGTGTGTTATGATTGGCCGAATACCTCAAGCGCGTGACGGAAATGTTACGCCCCTTACCATATTGTGATGATGCCCTGTCAGGCCGGAGCGATGATTATAATGGGTTTTCATGTTTTTGAATCGAGGCATTCGTTGCATCCAGTGGGGACATAATTATGGATTATAATGACTTGTACTGTCTTTTTACGCGTTGCGTTGCATTGCAAAACATTGTAAACATAAAACCATGTCTGCATTTGTGATCGGAGAAATTACAAACAACAAGCCCTACTCTACACTGCCCAAAAGACTCTCTTTAAATATAAAAAACTTACTTACAATCTGTGAGTCAGAACAGCCGGCATTGTAGTCTACTCTACCAGGATCAGTAAACAGTCCTCCATAAAATGTGCTGCACACATCTGAATATTTGGGTTGAAGTGTTCTGGAGCAGTGTTGTAAATACAACTTAACCACTGATTTCTAGTAGTGTCCATTTTTGGAAAGCCAAACAAAGTAGTTTCGCTTTCACAACGAAACAGCGTCACACACGGCGTGAGTGAGCGGCGACGGCCTAGAGTGAGCAGAGGCCGGGGGCTAGAGTGAGCAGAGGTGGCGGGCTTGAGAACGGCGCGGCTGGCGTATTCGACGAAGGAGGCTTGCGGCAAAAACATGTGACGACCCCGGGCTGGACTCTGCTTCATCCACGGTGAAAGCCGATCCACAGAGCAAAGTTGTTGTTTTTCCTCAGCGATCAGCTCTAGGCATTACGAAGCGGATATCGTCCTCTTTTGGAAGGCCAAACAAAGTAGTTTCGCTTTCACAATGAAACACACAGCGCCTTCACGACATGGCGGCCGCAACAATACTACAGCGAGAATAAAAGTTACGCCTTCTTTCTTTGCGTGAACATTTGGGCGGTGTTATGCAAATCTTCCCAGATAGTGACGTAGGTATGTGGGGGCGTGTTAGAATGAGCCATTTTAGGTAGGTGTGGCTGACTCTTCTTTACAAGAATGTTTTATTGTAAAGAATTTAGTCTTTGCAACTTTACAGATCTTCTTTATGCACCAAGAACTTATAACACTTCAAAGAGAAAGGAAAAATTTAAATCGCATCATATGACCCCTTTAAACCTAAAGTAAAACAGATTTGTGAAGACTAATATTATTGCAATATTTCAGTTATCATAAGTAGTATCTTAACATTTATACTTGCTTTCTTGCAAATGTGACATTTGTACATCCATGCTTGTAAAGCCATCATTTAGAGCTTTGTTTTTAAGATGTCATAAAACTGTAATTTTTGTTTTAGGGAAAATGGAAGAGCTGATCCTTGGGTTGATTCTTTTTGATATTCAATTTGGACTTTTCTGTTATCTTCAAAGCACTTCTTGGTGCTGATTAATTTATGTTTCAGTAATGCATGACGGGAGCTCAGTTATTATTTTTCTGTGTGTGTATAGCTTGAATGACACGACAAAAACGGAGACTTGATTTGTATTGATTGGTTGCTATTTTATTTATATTTTATTCAATTTCTTTAAAATACTATGCCTGTAAGAGGCTGAGATGTCTTGTGAATTTCAGTACTTTGTCTATTTTGGAATTTCAGTGCTTCAATTTAAGTCAAATCAATGTAAATAAAATCAACATTATCACACGTCATTTCATGAAACAAAAATTTTATATTTATTTTCACCTTACGAACAATAGACATTCATGTAAATATATACAATTGTGAAGAGAGGACATCAGCAGGCCTGCACCATCATAGTTGAAACTATACTGTCAAATGCCCTGAGAAGGAAAAAAAAAAAATATTATTATATTAGCGCAGGGGTCACCAGACTCTGTCCTGGAGGGCCGGTGTCCTGCAGAGTTTAGCTCCAACCCTAATCAAACACACCTGAACCAGCTAATCAAGCTCTTATTAGGCATACTAGAAACTTCCAGGCAGGTATGTTGAGGCAAATTAGATCTAATCTCTGCAGGATACCAGCCCTCCAAAACCAAGTTTGGTGATTTAAATATAAAAACTCTTTAAATATAAAAAACGTACTTGCAATCTGTGAGTCAGAGCAGCCGGCATTGTAGTCTACTCTACCAGGATCAGTAAACAGTCCTCCATAAAATGTGCTGCACACATCTGAATATTTGGGTTGAAGTGTTCTGGAGCAGTGTTGTAAATACAACTTAACCACTGATTTCTAGTAGTGTCCATTTTTGGAAAGCCAAACAAAGTAGTTTCGCTTTCACAACGAAACAGCGTCACACACGGCGTGAGTGAGCGGCGACGGCCTAGAGTGAGCAGAGGCCGGGGGCTAGAGTGAGCAGAGGTGGCGGGCTTGAGAACGGCGCGGCTGGCGTATTCGACGAAGGAGGCTTGCGGCAAAAACATGTGACGACCCCGGGCTGGACTCTGCTTCATCCACGGTGAAAGCCGATCCACAGAGCAAAGTTGTTGTTTTTCCTCAGCGATCAGCTCTAGGCATTACGAAGCGGATATCGTCCTCTTTTGGAAGGCCAAACAAAGTAGTTTCGCTTTCACAATGAAACACACAGCGCCTTCACGACATGGCGGCCGCAACAATACTACAGCGAGAATAAAAGTTACGCCTTCTTTCTTTGCGTGAACATTTGGGCGGTGTTATGCAAATCTTCCCAGATAGTGACGTAGGTATGTGGGGGCGTGTTAGAATGAGCCATTTTAGGTAGGTGTGGCTGACTCTTCTTTACAAGAATGTTTTATTGTAAAGAATTTAGTCTTTGCAACTTTACAGATCTTCTTTATGCACCAAGAACTTATAACACTTCAAAGAGAAAGGAAAAATTTAAATCGCATCATATGACCCCTTTAAACCTAAAGTAAAACAGATTTGTGAAGACTAATATTATTGCAATATTTCAGTTATCATAAGTAGTATCTTAACATTTATACTTGCTTTCTTGCAAATGTGACATTTGTACATCCATGCTTGTAAAGCCATCATTTAGAGCTTTGTTTTTAAGATGTCATAAAACTGTAATTTTTGTTTTAGGGAAAATGGAAGAGCTGATCCTTGGGTTGATTCTTTTTGATATTCAATTTGGACTTTTCTGTTATCTTCAAAGCACTTCTTGGTGCTGATTAATTTATGTTTCAGTAATGCATGACGGGAGCTCAGTTATTATTTTTCTGTGTGTGTATAGCTTGAATGACACGACAAAAACGGAGACTTGATTTGTATTGATTGGTTGCTATTTTATTTATATTTTATTCAATTTCTTTAAAATACTATGCCTGTAAGAGGCTGAGATGTCTTGTGAATTTCAGTACTTTGTCTATTTTGGAATTTCAGTGCTTCAATTTAAGTCAAATCAATGTAAATAAAATCAACATTATCACACGTCATTTCATGAAACAAAAATTTTATATTTATTTTCACCTTACGAACAATAGACATTCATGTAAATATATACAATTGTGAAGAGAGGACATCAGCAGGCCTGCACCATCATAGTTGAAACTATACTGTCAAATGCCCTGAGAAGGAAAAAAAAAAAATATTATTATATTAGCGCAGGGGTCACCAGACTCTGTCCTGGAGGGCCGGTGTCCTGCAGAGTTTAGCTCCAACCCTAATCAAACACACCTGAACCAGCTAATCAAGCTCTTATTAGGCATACTAGAAACTTCCAGGCAGGTATGTTGAGGCAAATTAGATCTAATCTCTGCAGGATACCAGCCCTCCAAAACCAAGTTTGGTGACCCCTGTATTAGCAGATCAGTCGACACACACAGCAAATACCTCAAATGTATGTATTCACTAAATGCACTTACTTTGATTGAATTGGATCACCAGGATTGTAGAATGGGTTACACATTACATCAGTGAAGGAGTTGTGCAACTTTCTGAACATCTGAGGAAAGACAGAATGCTCATTACACCCATCTGATTGACATCTCACTATTTTTGTTGTGAAACTGACACAATACACCTATGGAACTTACACTTCTAATTTCGTTGTCTCGCAGAGACGTGTTGGAGGAGTCAACAACAATCACAAACTTCACCTTAGAGTTTGTCACGTAGCCATATCTGTCATTCTTGTTAAGATGTTGACATTTTAATAATGATTGAAAATGCATTAGAAAGCATTCCATCTTAAAGGGTGGTTCACTCAAAAATGAAAAAATGTCATGTTGTTGCAATATGCATTTCTTCTGTGGAACACAAAAGATGGTATTTTAAATGTTCGTAACAGAAGTTTTAAAGTTAATTTCAATTCTATGGACAAAACCACTGACATTTCTCAAATCTTCTTTTATGTTCCACAGAAGAAAGTCAGTCATACTGTTTTGGTTAAGGATTAGTGGCCAACTGATAAGTTTTTCTCAGGAGCTGATATCTGAAGGGCAGGATGGCTAATAATTTCTATAAATACATTAAGTAATTTAATGATAGCAAATTAGACCAGGCAGTCAGAAGGAAAATGACAATTGTAGGTCAATGTGATAATCTCAAAATGGTCAAATATCAACTGATATATCAGTCTATCACGATTTAAGTCACCATGAAATCAAAATAGACAATTTTGGAATACTGTATTTGTTTACATGATTTCTGTGCACGTCATTTTTCTTTTTAAACTCGTGCCCTCATAATATTTAATTAAAAACATTAACATCCACTTCCCCTTGCAACAACATTTCTAATGTTGTAAATGTAGCAAATGACAACAATCCATCAATCCAATCACTTTCTGATGAATGAAATGTGATACTCTGGCTCCACATTTTTTTTTTCTTATTTGAGAAGATGGAAATAGATCACAATAAGAAAGACATTCCTCTTTCGCAACTTCTGTTTAATGCTGATTTTAAGGATACACTTTGTAGTCCTCAGTTGGATAGAGGAGTCCCAGATAAAGCTCCCTCTGGTCGGCCAAGGCTTTGCCCACACCGGAGATCTTCTCCTCCACCACGTCCAGAGAAGTGTGCACCGTGTAGTGGAACTTGAGTTCCCCCTGTGTAGGAACGCTCCGAATGTACAGGGGACAGTTCTGCAGAGATCAACATAATGTTAGTCAAGTTTGCTATTACAGGAAACACAATTTCAGCTTGTAATTTTATTACAACTTAATGAGCATAAATTTAGAATTAAACCTAAACTAATCTGTCCATTTGCAAGAGTTGATCAGTGCATAAATCATGTTAATGCTACCTTAGACCATGGTTTTCCAAATGGCAATGTTCAATTATTTACAGAAAATGTCAAATTTTTTAAAGAATCCATAGATGTAATACGAATTTCAGTTTATACGTAATAAGTTATGCGTGTAAAATAACGCATTTACTGAACCAAAAAAAAAAAAAGACTACAAGGTAAGAAAGCATTGATTTTAATGGATGTTCAATGACAGAACAGACATTATCTGAATCAGCAGGTTTTCATTTCATTTTAATTTATACAAGTGCTATCTAAAATACTTATTTCTGGTTGGCCAGTCGCATCAGTTAGCAGTCAAGCATTTTTAAAATATGACTTGGGTCCATATCGACACCATACACTCTTAAAAATAAAGGTGCTTCACGATGCCATAGAAGAACCTTTTTGTCTAAATGGTTCCATAAAGAACCTTTAACATCTGAAGAACCTTTCTGTTTCACAAAAGGTTCTTTGTGGCGAAAGAAGGTTCTTCAGATTATAAAAAGCTAAGAAAGAGATGGTTCTTTAAAGAACATTTGACTGAATGGTTCTTTGTGGAACCAAAACTGGTTCTTCTATGGCATCGCTTGAAGAACCTTTTGAAGCACCTTTATTTTTAAGTGTACCACTCATCCAGGAAGTCCGTTTTCTACACAGCTGTGCTTGTGATCTATATTTTTGCAATCAATACAAAAAATCGAATAAAATATAGGCTACTCTACCATTAGTACTGTCTGCATTTATTTAAGTAGCTGTGTAATCAGCAGGACGAGGTGCCAGCTGCTAGGCATCACACCATTTTTATTTTTCATATACAATATCAGCAAAAGCAGACCAGATGAAAATCATAAAGACTGGACTCCCAAGATTGCACAAAATAAAACTTCACCAAAACACTGCCAGTTATGTTTTGCTATTCATGCATTTATCATTTTGATTGATGCGAAAGTCTCATATGTGGGGGTGTCTCAATTATTTCGAAAAAGTCGATCTGATTAAATGTAGGATGTCGTCCATGTTCACCCCATCCCTTCAAATAAGTGTGAAGACTCACCTCACATGCTGTTGCAATTCATCCGGTAGTGTGGTAGATTGCAACAGCACTCTTTGTACACTAATTTACACAGTTTCGAAGAGATTGTAGAGTTCTATACAAACTAATTTGTAACGCAAACACGGGAACCTTCAAGGTTGAGATGCAAAAACAAACATCGCTCAAAACAATGTAGTTTGTAAAACATGGTATATTTCATATCATACCATATTACATATACTGTACTTGTGCCATTTGAATGTAACTTATTTACATTAAATTGTAACTAACAACCATGCAAGTAACGTTAAATATATGCTACTCAGCCCTGTTCATATTAGAAACTCTTTCGCATCAAATCTGATGCCTCCAGCACGTCGGATCTCAGATGCATTCAAGCATTACCAAGAAATAATTAGCTGTATCATTAAAAAAAAAAAAAAGATTCAATGCTTTCACTTGCCTCCTTCGCAATGACCGCTATACACACCGCCATGATGACGCTCCAAACACGGTCACGTGACACGCACAGTCACATGATTCATAGTTTCATAGCTCTTGTGACTATGTGCAATGCTTCTCGTGATGCGAACAAACACGCTTTGCTGGGTTGAATGTTTAGTATACTTAACAGTTCCGCTTTAGAGTGCACTTCCTGAAAGTTAGCATGTGTTGTGTAAAGATTTAAAAGAAAGTTACAATGAGTGTTAAGACTGTGATCTGTGTCTTATGGGCAGTAAGTGTGGGTCAGACTGCAGGAAGCCAGCATGGTCCAAACATAATCATCATGCTTATGGATGATGTAAGTCCTTTTGAGGTCTTTTTCTTAGAGGCTTGACTGACCAACTGACACTAAAACCTACTTTTTTTAAATTTTCTGTTTTTGTGTTTATGTACGAGCAATACATATGTGTATCTGTGCAACACATATATTTGGTGTGTGAAATACATTTGTGTTGCATGCACTTTGTTATAGTTTATATTGTATATCGTGTATAAATGTCATATTCTCTCTTTTTTGTATTTATTAGAGTGTATGTTGCAATATACAGTGGATTCAATGCTTTCACTTGCCTCCTTCGCAATGACCGCTATACACACCGCCATGATGACGCTCCAAACACGGTCACGTGACACGCACAGTCACGTGATTCATAGTTTCATAGCTCTTGTGACTATGTGCAATGCTTCTCGTGATGCGAGCAAACACGCTTTGCTGGGTTGAATGTTTAGTATACTTAACAGTTCCGCTTTAGAGTGCACTTCCTGAAAGTTAGCATGTGTTGTGTAAAGATTTAAAAGAAAGTTACAATGAGTGTTAAGACTGTGATCTGTGTCTTATGGGCAGTAAGTGTGGGTCAGACTGCAGGAAGCCAGCATGGTCCAAACATAATCATCATGCTTATGGATGATGTAAGTCCTTTTGAGGTCTTTTTCTTAGAGGCTTGACTGACCAACTGACACTAAAACCTACTTTTTTAAAATGTTCTGTTTTTCTGTTTTTGTGTTTATGTACGAGCAATACATATGTGTATCTGTGCAACACATATATTTGGTGTGTGAAATACATTTGTGTTGCATGCACTTTGTTATAGTTTATATTGTATATCGTGTATAAATGTCATATTCTCTCTTTTTTGTATTTATTGGAGTGTATGTTGCAATATACAGTGCTGACAACTATATCCCAAAGATATTATATTATGAATTTATACTGTTCTACCTGTTTTTAAACCATAAATACAATTCACACTAAGCAAGGTCACATGTTTTAAGTGCAATCAGACATCAAAACATTTTTAATGCATTAGAAGGGATGAATCGTATGATCCATGCTGATGCATACCAAATAGTAGAGCATGGTGCTAGCAACACCAGGGTCTTCGGTTTGATTCCCAGGAAATGTACAAACTGATAAAATGTATATTTCGAATGTAGTATACTGTATACATTTTGGATCAAATTGACTCTCAAATGTGTTAATGTAAAATACATTTTTGTTAACTATTTGTACTTTTGAAACCTGGCATAGTAAAATGGCATAGCCTATGTGCAGTGGTTCTCAAGCTTTTTGACTCCAAGGCCCTCTTATCTTTGTTGATATATACTGTGTGTATATATATATATATATACACACACACACACACACACACCTGTGGTACTGCTGTTGTAATAAAAAATAAAATAAATAATGCCAGTTTAATGTTGTGCATTTATTTTAAATTATTAAATGTATTAAATTGACATTTTTTTACATTTTAATAGGGGGTTTGCTGAGGCCCCCTAGTTGAGAACTTCTGGTCTACAGAACGTGCAGTCTGATTTAGACTTCTTCCAATATCTCCCAAGATCATTTAAGCCACAGATGCCAAATACCAATACCAATAAGGGCTATTAATAAATTGTGCGTACATATAAACTGAAGTACATCTCTCTCTGTCTCTGTCTGTTGAGCTATAGTTTACTTCCATTAAAAAAAAAATCATGTTTTTTTTTTTTGTTTGTTTGTTTTACACCATAAATTAGAAGCATGCTCATACCATATTCTCTGTTTCTGTCTGCAGATGGGCTGGGGTGATTTGGGAGTATTTGGGGAGCCCTCCAAGGAAACTCCAAACTTGGATCTGATGGCTGCTCAGGGGATGCTGTTTCCAAACTTCTACACTGCCAACCCTCTGTGTTCCCCCTGTATGTGCTGCTTCTGGGCTTGCCTTTATCTCTCTATCACTATGTCTTTGTTCGGGATATTAGCATACTGCTGCCTACTGCACATTACTGTATGCTGCCTACGATAAATGTCTTAAGCAATAGTACTGTAGGCTACGATGCATTGCTTAATAATTCAAAAGATCTAGTAAATGTAGTTATTTATTTTGCTGGTCCAAGCAAACAATAAAGTACTCACAGCAGTGTGCTTTGCTTATACGGCATACTGCACATTTTTGCCAGTGAAGTCACTCATCTGGGTATTTCATGCACACAGGAAATTTGCATATTGCCTACTGTAAAAATGGTGTGAGTTGCAGTAAGCTATTCTAAATCTGTCTAACCAGAGTCTAGACAGGGCTATTCAGCTTCGATTCTTGGTGAATAGGCCTGGTCTAGACATTGGGAGCAAATTAACTGATCTTTTAGTTTGCCTGAATTTGATAAAACATTGTTGAAAGTGCCAGAACAGATCTTAAATCGAACGATTCTTTTCTCTTTTGAATGTGAATGCCCAGCACATTCATAAACACTTATAAAAGTAATGAAATAATATATGAAACATTCATTCTGCAGTGCATCCTACAAAACAAACTGATTAAAAAAAAAAATTAATTTTTATTCCAGTGTTGTGTAAAATATCTTAACTTTAAAGCCGTTAAAATATAACTTAAAAAAAAAACAATTAAAATAAAACACTTACTTACTTAAAATGTAAATATTTGTTTACTTGCATGCCATGTGACCAGTTATATTTGTATTTTGTGTAAACATTATTATGAACTGTAATAAATTAATGGTAAAATATGTTATAACACGCAGCATTTAAAATGTGTTATGAGAAAAAATACCTATAATGGCATTTTCTATTTAAACATTTTTATTTTTAATACAAAAATACAAAAAGTTATGCATCATTTAATAATTAAAAAATATATATATATATTGCATAGGCCATATGTCCTTTTGAAATGTTTCATTTTTATCTCCTAGTCACTCAGAACAACCATTCTGTGGTTGCCAGAACTAGTAAACATGCATTTGAAAACATAAGATGTATCATAAAACCCTAACGGATAACAAAAAAAATAAGAAGAAACAATGAAAAACCATCAAATATGAGTTGTCACATAGGTGAATTAGGGAATGTCAATTTTCAAATAATTTTCAAAAAATTACATGATGTCCAATTAGATCTATTACAAATTTTCACCATAAATAGTAAGGTAAATTACGTTAACCAAATAGCAGGTTTTTATCATACAAAACTATTAATTTTTTTGAAGCATCTAGGACTTAGCAACATCTAATAAATGTCATGCTCAGTCAGTGACTGTGCTGGTATTTCCTAATATTATTATTGTTGTTGTTTTAAATATTGGTGTATTTTCTTGTCTTATTTGGAAGCAGATAGCATACTGTATTGACACTTTTTGTTTTTCTAATTCAAAGTGGTTCATTCTTTCTGCACCAGCTTTCAAAAGTCCTGAACAACAGAAATCCATGTTTTCTACTTAATGTCATATAAGTGCTGTTGCTCCAAATATTACAAATCACACCACTAATGCACAGACTGACAACCTCATCACAAACGTATTCAAGCGGAGTGATATAATACAATTCTGTATTTCAGCATTTTTGGAACACCACTCAGCCAAACAAATTTGAGGATTGGAACTTACTGTTGTATAATATACATAAAAAAAATGTTTATTGTGTAATTTCACATGTAAAAATCTAGATGCTCTAAGGCAAAGTACCCCAGCTAAATAGGGTAGAAAATGTAACTGATATCACCATACTTCTTAAGTTGACTTTGATTGGCATTATCTAATTAAATATGACCGTTCTTGGACCACAAAACCAGTCTTAAGTCGCTGGGGTATATTTGTAGCAATAGCCAAAAGTACATTGTATGGGTCAAAATTATTGATTTTTCTTTTATACCAAAAATCATTAGGATATTAAGTAAAGATCATGTTCCCTGTAGATATTTTGTAAATTTCCTACTGCAAATATATCAAAACTTAATTTTTGATTAGTAATATGCATTGCTAAGAACTTCATTTGGACTTTAAAGTTGATTTTCTCAGTATTTAGATTTTTTTGCTCCCTCATATTCCAGATTTTCAAATAGTTGTATCTCGGCCAAATATTGTCCTATCATAACAAGCCATACATCAATGGAAAACTTCTTTATTCAGCTTTCATATGATGTATACATCTCAATTTCGAAGAATTTACCCTTATGACTGGTTTTGTGGTCCAGGGTCACAAATATGCTCTCATTTGCATTCATTTCTAGAACAGAAATATGAACATTGGATGAAGCCAGGATTCATTCAAAATGCTTTCATTTTATTAACTTATTGGAGTCTTTCAGAAGGGATGTGATATTATCGCTTCATACATTTAGAAAATACTGTCAACAGAAAATGTAACCATGTTTTTAGGAATACATGGGAATAAAATCAGGCAAACGAACATACTGTTCTCTTCTGTAATAACCTTTAGAAAATTGATAGGTATTAAACTGTAAAAATTGGTGTTCTGAAGTGGATATTTTTGTCTGCATGAGATTGAAACGGCCTTTAAATGTGTATATATATTAATTGAAATCTATAGATGAAGTAGATAAAGTGCAAAGTGTATTTTGCATGTTTATTTTCCACTAATCTGATAAAAAAAACCACATGAAAAGCCCAAACTCTAAAAAATGACCAGTGCATGAAATAACCGTGTTTTTCCTTAAAAAAAAAGACAAAACATGTATTTTCTAAAATCAGCCATTGTGTTACTTGACGGCCATAACATAATTATCGTTTTGGTCAAAAATTCTGCATTGTGCTCTGCTGTTTTGTATTATATAAATGATTGGTTAATGAGATGCTATTTTTCCTGCTCTGAGGCGAGGATAAGGGCTGAAGGCTTCATTGGTAGTCTTGTCTGCAACTGTTTAGTATTCCGCCCAGTGCTTTGGAATACTGGGGCTTCAGTAAGCATACGTTTCTTCAGAATGCTAAATGAGGTTTGTGTTGACAGAGGAATGGATCAAGGCTGAGGGGTATTAGCCAGGTGCTGGCAGTGGAGGGATTCAGCCTGACACGCCACATCTTAAAGTTTTATAACCAGCGCACATCAATCTGAGACATCTATCTTCCTCCATATAGCACATCCATCTGTCACAGGACAGGTTTCAAACGTGGGCTAATTTGACAGAATTTGTTATGCTGTCTGGGTTAGTGCAACTGAACAGGTGAATTTTTTAGTGCTTTGATTGCTGTGATTAAGGTGGGAAGACACTGTGTGATTTGTCTTGTAGTTATGGCGATGCGGTGATGGAACTGGATGACAGCATCGGTCAGATTCTGGCTCACCTGGTCAGTCTGGGAATCCACAACAACACATTGGTGTTCTTCACCTCGGATAATGGGGCAGCAGTGATGTCTGGACCGCATCAAAGTGGGAATGCATTTACACTTCTCCACCTTATACATTAACACACCAAAGAGGGCTTCCACAGTTTTTTGGGGGTGTTTATGACACTTTTTTTTCAGTAGGGGACTTGCAAGAAATTATTTCAAATTTTTTATCCAAATAATTTCTTGCAATTCCTCTGCTGATGGTGTAGGTTTGTTAGACTGAGAAGGCTGAAGTAAATTTTTTGTAGTATTTGTGTAATTTAAAAAAAATGTTTTTTTACATAATTGATTTGAGCTAAATTTAGTCTTTTCTTTTGATGTTTCTTAATATAGATCCTTATATATTTTTATCTCTCTGCCTGTTGCATAAATTCGCAAGTTTGTAACAGCAAAATTAACAATATATATAACCATATAAACGTTGTTGTTATTCTTATTTTATTATTATTTAACTTTTAGGGATAAAGTGTTGCTTTGAGCTTCACTGAGCGACTTTCACACACTACCGATAAATTCAATTAAGTTAAAGCTATGATGTGTAACTTTTTTGATTAAAAAATAGCAGAGTGCAAAAAAAAATCTTCCAAACCATGTCTTTAGCCGTATGCACTTGGATAAACCCATAATAATTATTTTAGAGCTTTCAGGGAGGATTTAAACCACATTTATCAATGTAGATGTGCGGGGACGAAGCACAACCATGTTATTTTTTTTTTTTTACAGCTAGACACCCAAAAGTTACAGAGTGTAGCTTTAAATGTGTGATTAGTTTTAGTTCATTACCCTCCAGTTTGTATTCCTAATAAATATTTAGAGGAAGTTCGAGCTCGTTGGTCTTCTGTGGCATTTAGTGAACCAGCACTAAGTGCAAGCTTGAATCAAACCTGCATCACCCACATGAGTGCAGCTTTTCAATATATCTGAATTATGTGCAATAACTGCTAGGCTTCGGCTCAGATGTTTGTGCTAGTTTTCTTAGTTTTATTTTCATTGTTGGTCTATGGACACATACGCCAGTCAGATATATTTTAACATTACATTGTGTCGTTTTAAGAAAGGTGGTGTGAATTTTAAATGCTAAGTTTAGAATACTGTGGCAAGTTTTAAATGTTTTTTATTTTAAGACCATTGCATTCTGTTCTATCTTCTGCTCTCTCAATTTATCTTTCATTTACACTCTCAATACACCTATTCAGTTTCTTTGAGTCACGGGGCTCTTTTGTAAAGATTATTTGTTAGAGAAGAATTGCCATCACTGTACTCCACAGATGAGGCTTTGAGTTTAAGATTCTCTTCTGTCGTTTTTCATCCTCAGGCGGGAGCAACGGGCCGTTCCTCTGTGGGAAGGAGACTACGTTTGAAGGCGGGATGAGGGAACCAGCCATTGCCTGGTGGCCTGGACGGATCCCTGCTGGCACAGTGAGAATGATCCCAAGCTGTTAAAACTTAAACCAAACTTAAATGTAGAAGTCCCAATTGTGCTTTCAAGTTCACCGTATTCCATCTTTCCACAATCTCAAAATGCATCTTACACATTTCTATCCATTCTAAAATCAAACTAAGAAAAAACATTCACCTTGCATATTTGTGGATAAAACAAATTGAATTTTAATTAAGGGATAATACCCATCCAGCCGGTTGTTATTATTGTGCAATATCAGAGCTTCCATGAAGAGTGGCGCAGTTCATAGTAAGTGGCTTTGAGACAAGATAACAAACAATTTAAAACAAGACGAACATTCCAGGGTACAGACATACCACTTATATGCACCAAATAAAACAACAACAATCATTCTGACAACAAGACCAACACTATAATAGTACGACTGAAGTACTCCGATTTTATTTTCAATACAGTCCATAAGTGCAAGATGGTACCAGGTGCATTTGTATGAAACAAGACAGAGTAAATGAGCAATGTGATGCGAGAGACATTAAAGAAGCGCTGGCCTCAGACATCCAGATGAGTGGTCCGTTAATCAGCATTACTATTGAAAACAGTCATTATGAGGAATAACAGTCCTTGGAATGTCTTGGCTGACCAATCAGAATCAGGCATTTCAGAGAACTGTATAATACATTTAACAAGGTTGATCAGATCTTTGCTACCATTTTTTTTGGGTACCAATATTTTAAAAATGGAACTGGTTCTTATAAAAATCAGCTCCTTATTTAAAATATTGGAACCAAATAACAGTCATGATGCAGTTCAATTTTAAAGTTTACCTTTAAAGGCTAGCTTTACCAAATATCTTCTATTTATTCTTGAAATTCCTTATGATTCCCAGCCCTGGTCTCCTTTCCTCCCTTTTTTTTTCCTGATCCGCTGAAGCTGTGTGCTCTGCAAATGACTTTTAATTGTATTAGGGGCAGCTGTGACATGGGGCTGTGGCGTGGAGGATTTTTGGAGGAGGGAGTGCGGGAGCCGCGCTAAGCCTGCCCCCGGCTCATATTTGAGGGGTGTGCAGGGCCCTGATAGCACAGCGGAGTGACGAGGGAGAGGGGGATTGGGAACGTCTTAAGCGGCTAATCTGTTTGTGTGTTTGCTGAGGTTGGATTGAGCTGTAATGAGGGCTTCTGTATCTGAATATGCCAGGCGTGCCGGATAAAGAACAGAAAGGGAGAGGAGAGCAGAGAGGTGTGCTGGGGTATGTGGCTGGGATAGAGGCGTGTGGTGTGCCAGGTGTATGGGCAGTGCCAGAGTGGGATAAGCAGGTGTTTCACACTGTTAATGTTTGTCTTGCAGCGACAGGCTGGATTTTGCCCTGTCCTGCTCCGCTCGAGTGTGGCTCTTTGTGATATGCGTGTCTTCTCGTCCATTTCTCTCTTGGGAAGCATTGATGCCCCTTTTTGTTTTACTAAATGATGTGGGGTTATATATTTATTGCAGATTTACAAACAAATCGAATCAAAAATGTATTCACAAATAAAGAAACAAATTAATATTGTGTTTCTCAGAAATTCATGAATAATTTTTATATATCTAGAAATGAATTAAATTTTTGTATAGCTATTTTGTGTTTTAGAGGATTTCCTTGCAGTTTTGCTTTCAGAAATAAATCCACAAATAAATGTGCACAATTCTACAAACGCATGGGAAAGAATAATATAAATAAATGCTAGCAAGAAACCAAATATTGAAATAATAATAATAAGCATTGATGAAATTAAAACCCAGATTTTTTTTTAAAAAAGGAAAAGAAAATAGAAAAAAAATTAGATCTCAAAAATTTCTCTACAAAATGGTCATGTAAATGTATGATTATTTTTTTGGCAAGCAACGGGTTAAAGGGTTACTCCACCCCAAAATGAAAATTTTGTCATTAATCACTTACCCCCATGCCGTTCCAAACCCATAAAAGCGTCGTTCGTCTTCGGAACACAATTTAAGATATTTTGGATGAAAACCGGGAGGCTTGTGACTGTCCCATTGACTGCCAAGTAAATTACACTGTCAAGGTCCAGAAAAGTATGAAAGGCATCGTCAGAATAGTCCATCAGTGGTTCAACCGTAACGTTATGAAGCGACGAGAATACTTTTTGTATGTGAAGAAAACAAAAATAACAACTTTATTCAACAATTCGTCTCCTCTGTGTCTCTCCGCATCACCGTAGCGCCATTTTGGAGAATATCTGCTGAACGCAAACTGCGTACGCTCTTCTGTGTCACAATGCGACACAATGATACGTTTTCTACGTGTATTTACGCTTTGATTTGAACGAAAACAGCGCATCCGTGCAGCGTAGCTGACACAGAAGAGAGTACGCTGCTTGCGTTCAGCGGATATTCTCCAAAATGGTGCAACGGTGATGCGGAGAGACACAGAGGAGACGAATTGTTGAATAAAGTCGTTATTTTTGTTTTCTTCGCGTACAAAAAGTATTCTTGTCGCTTCATAACATTACGGTTGAACCACTGATGGCAGTGGTAAGCACTATTACCTTGTCATAGTGTTTTATAATTTATACAGAACTGTTATATATGCAAGTAAAATAAATAATAACCATATTAGAATAATATATTACCTTATTTATTACTTATATTAGCGCTTCATCATTAACATATCATACATACAGTGGGGCAAAAAAGTATTTAGTCAGCCACCAATTGTGTTCCGGCCTCTGTCCCAACTCTTCTTTCTCTCTGCCTTTCTCTTCATTTACAGAGATGTTAGTGTGGTTTATAATAAACCTGCGAGTACAGATTAGAGCGGGAACTGAAGAAACGCGCCATCATGGTTCTGCTCTTATAAGTGGCCTCCCTGCCTGTTGCGCTCTGTGCCGTCTTGACAAGGTTCACGCATGAAGAAGATGATTTTGTGTGTGTGTGCTTGCGTATAACTGCGGGTTGCAGCATGGGTTGATGTATTACAGCTTAAACAGTCTTGAGAATCTAGACTAGTGACATATAAGCCAATATTAGGATTATTAATTATAATTTATGATGGATAATTGTGCTTGCCTATCCAATTAACTATATAAAGCCTACTGTATCATATTTGATGTGTACATTTCTAAGGCCTCTAAATTGTAGACCTAATCAAAGCTTTGCTGAAAAACCTGTTGTATGCTTTATTTTGACTGATAATTTATACTTTTTATGCTATTAAAAGGACTTTTAGTTTCTTTCTAAAAACATCCCCCTTCAGGTCGTGGTACACGTGTCTTTTGACATTTTTAATGATTTTTATAAAGTAAATATAACAGTAACATAATATTTTTAGTATTATTTCAAGATAAACACTTACTGGACTGAAACAACTTGATTTTCCATATATTGTTTATTATTATTATTATAATTTTATTTTTTTAAATCATTTTAAATTGATGCATTAAGCTTTTGAGGAATGTTTATTATTACATCTCTGTTATGATTGTATGCATTGCTTTATATGTTTTGCTCCCCACAATAAAAAGTACAGAACTTTGTTCATAAAACAAAGCTTTTAAATTTCATCTTACAAAGACATATGTAGAGATCTAGAGTGACAACTGATCTTTAGATGCCTTTTATTCAAAATAGTCTGGTATTGTATAGTTATAATGATATCATTGAGATACGTTCTCAGATTAAGCTATCAGAAATTCATCATATCTTTTGGCCATATAAATATCAGCAACTGCACCAAAATGCATATTCTTGCATTTTGCAAGTTTGGACCTCTGAAAAAAAATTGGTGTTTTTTTTTTTTTTTAATGAACTCCATATTCTATATACAAGGTTAAGAGACAAATTAGTTAATTTTCAACCAGTTTTTATTGTTACAATGCCGGAAGTGTATGTAAATTAACGATATGTACTCTTTCTCCCTGCGCCCAGATCTGCCAGTTTATAGAAAAAAAAATACTGTAACTCCAATAATTTTCCATTAAATTCAAGCCAAAATTAAGCCTTAAAATAGTTAAGGGACATGTATGATATAGAAATGGAAAATTTACCAACTTGACCAAATCATTTGTTATCATTCAATAACAATTTATTATTCCTCCCAAACCAAGAGTTCTGTGTGTGATACTAGTGATTTATTCCTCAGGTGAGTCATCAGTTGGCCAGTGTGATGGATCTCTTCAGCACAAGTCTTTCTGTGGCTGGTGTTCTTCCCCCTGATGACAGAGTCATTGATGGTCTCGATTTAAGTCCTGTCCTGATTAACAACTCACTGCTTGACAGGTAACCACCTCAAAGCAAGTGTGACTTTCATTCACATTTGATTTTTATTATTGTGGGTGGGTTGGTGGTCAGTCGAGACTGATTCCTAAAATATCTCTTGCCAGAATGTCCTCTGTTGTTTAATGCCCTTACACTACAAATATGATGTGGCCATTACTGTCTCAGTCCAGCTCCAAAGATGATTTGACTGACCATTACTTTGCTGCTAGTATATAGTTTCTGTAGGTGTTCTTCTGGGTAAAAGAGTGATTTTGAGAGAAGTTAAGGTCTCCTGTTAAAGCCACTACCTGGAGGCTTTGAGAAAGGGACCATCCTTTTGCAAAAGGTGTTTTACTGAACACATTGTCAAAATGGGATGAGACATGGTGGGCAGTATTGGCAACTGGAATGACTTATCATCACAAGATTCTCATTTCATACCCAACAGACCCATCTTCTATTATCGTGGCAACCAGATGATGGCAGTGCGGATCGGGCAATACAAGGTGCACTATTGGACTTGGAGCAACTCATGGGAGGAATTCAACACGGTGAGTGATTGCAAATGTTCAGTTTCTATTTGTTTCAAAATTACCTTTTTTATGATAAAGATTTTGGTCATATTGACCACCTCTAAGTAGTTTAAACAGTCACATAGTGCTTTAATCCCCCAGTGAGCAAGCCAGAGTTGACAGTGGCAGGGAACGAAAAACTAGCCAGAGAAAAAAAAACATCACTACTACTGTTGCTCATAGTTAGGGTTAAAGGTTAAGGATGCACCAATTTTGGCTAATACCAATAAGAACATTATTTTAATGTAATGGCCAATAACCAGTAAATTGTGTATATTTAAATTTGATACAAATTTGTCTAAATAAATGGAAATGCCAAGAATAAAAACACTTAAAATCAATAACTTTAAGTGCTAGAATTGAATTTAGGCATCACAACATTACAGTGTTCAATATGAAAAATTTATGTTTTCAGAATTGCTGAAGACTACATTTAACAGCATGATTAAATTATTGGTGTTTTAAAAAATGAATTGGCAATGAGCATTATATCATTGTAAAAGTAATATAAATATAGCAGATGTAACCATGGACAGTTAAAGGGATAGTTCACCCCAAAATGAAATTTTCATAAATTACTCTCACCCTGTATATGGTGTGTGATTGTATGACACTTTTTCTTCTGTGAAACGTTTTTTTTCTCTCTCTATACAATGGAAGTCAGTGGTAACATTCTTCCAAATATGTGCTTATATATTTCACAAAAGAAAGTCAGTAATACAGGTTTGGAACGACATAAGGATGCATAAATGATGATATAATTTACATTTTTGGGTGGACTATCCTTTTAGATATCTAATGTATCATGTATCAACCAATACAGTAAATTACAAAATCTTTAATATTGCCCAAATAATAGATATTGTACAGATATATATATCTATAAGGGATTTTTAAAACCTCATCTGGTGCTGTTTGTACTATAGATGTGAATGACGCCTTAATTTGTCTGGCTTTTCAGTTGATTGATCAACATTTAAGCGGGCTAAAATATCCCATTGATTTACAATGAAATACTTTTTAACTTGCAACCACCTAAAACCTATCCAAAACACCCCAGCAACAACTCAAACACCTTAGCATCATGGTGGCAGCATTTGTACAACCATTCACATTTTCTTTGAAAAATGTTATAATCTAGATATTGTCTCATGTTCCCCTGATTTCTTGCCTCTTGATGCAGTAATTGCATTCCAAAATGCACATTAGCACGTTAATGTTATCTGAAAAAAACAATGCCTTATCAAATAGACTTGAAGATCAGGCAGTAATGAATATTAATGGAGCTAATGGAGCGGGACCACTTCTGCAAACACGCTTCATCTATTAGCGCGCTATTCCAGCAGCATCCCTCATGCTGTGAGTTGCGTTCTGTCAAGCCCTCGGGGACACGTCTGTCTGTCTCTCATACCCACTACACACGCTCCGTTTCCCATTAAAATCACACAACACACATACACGCAACCCCTGTCCGCCGTCAGCCTGGGCCACGGGCTTCTTCTCCGAACGCGAGGGTTTGTTTTATGCCCCATCGGTTGCTTAAATTGCTCTCTCCTGGATGGCCGCTGAATCAATAGCAGCCCCCTTTATCAGCTCATGTGAACTGGAGTGTAACTTCACAAATAATGGTGGCTGATTGCTTGTGAGCTGCCAACAAAAACTTGCAACCACCTAAAACCTATCCAAAACACCCCAGCAACAACTCAAACACCTTAGCATCATGGTGGCAGCATTTGTACAACCATTCACATTTTCTTTGAAAAATGTTATAATCTAGATATTGTCTCATGTTCCCCTGATTTCTTGCCTCTTGATGCAGTAATTGCATTCCAAAATGCACATTAGCACGTTAATGTTATCTGAAAAAAACAATGCCTTATCAAATAGACTTGAAGATCAGGCAGTAATGAATATTAATGGAGCTAATGGAGCGGGACCACTTCTGCAAACACGCTTCATCTATTAGCGCGCTATTCCAGCAGCATCCCTCATGCTGTGAGTTGCGTTCTGTCAAGCCCTCGGGGACACGTCTGTCTGTCTCTCATACCCACTACACACGCTCCGTTTCCCATTAAAATCACACAACACACATACACGCAACCCCTGTCCGCCGTCAGCCTGGGCCACGGGCTTCTTCTCCGAACGCGAGGGTTTGTTTTATGCCCCATCGGTTGCTTAAATTGCTCTCTCCTGGATGGCCGCTGAATCAATAGCAGCCCCCTTTATCAGCTCATGTGAACTGGAGTGTAACTTCACAAATAATGGTGGCTGATTGCTTGTGAGCTGCCAATCGATTGTTTGAGCTCGCCTCTCACGCCGAGGACGGAGAGGATTGGAAGCTGGAGTCTAGTCCTGATGGTTAATGTATTTTCGGGAGGTTTCACCTGCTGCTGTAGAGTTACACACAAATTCAGATGCGTTTTTGGCACATCAATTTACCCATCGTTTTTAAGCTCACAGCACTGAAATTGATTTGAATGATTGTGGGTGCCATCAGAGATTAGGCGATCAACTTTTTGCACAGATTTAGGCAGTGATCCATACTGCACTACTCTGAAAACAAGGCTTTTTCACCCTTTGGTTTGTTTCCTGTTAAACTCGGTTGAAATGATGGCTTAATAGTATCGGTCACTTGGGTGAATTCCTCTTGAAACCTGTGCGGATCAGCGAGGTGTGAAATGAGAAATTTCACAGTGTAAGTGCTTTGCATCCGATGATCCTCTGCGCCACACTTTTGAGCAACAATATGAAGATACCTGAGAATTCTTCTCTTAAATTACACCTTTCACCAGTTTCACTGTTCTTAACCATTAGAAATCTGAGCATTGATTAACGCCTGGGCTTTGGGAGAATCTGTTGTTTTTTGGCAGCCAAGGGTCATGGTTTTACATGGTTTGAAGTCACATTTATTTATATAGTACTTTATACAATGCAGATTGCAAATGCAGTTTCAAAGCTTCACATTAATAAACAGGAAAATAATATTAAAGTTGAAAAATTCATCAATTATGAAAGTAATTTAATTTCAGCAGTAAAACAGCTCAACAGAAGACAATAGTATCATTATTCAGCTCAATTCAATTCAGTGTTGTTTCATGTACTACATTGAGTACAGGCAGTGTACTATGAATATTGTTGGCCCTTTGACAAACTGCTTTTCCTCTTTTATAAGTTGCTTCGGATGCTTTGCTAAATGCATAAATGCTAATTCAGTTCAATAACTGTCAATGTTGCAAAGTTCATCAATTATGAAACAAGTACAATTCAGCTGTAAGCAGCTCTAGAAGACAGTAGTGTCATTATTCAGCTGAAGCCAGTTCAATATTGATTAAATTCAGTTTAACAACTGTGTCAGTGTTGCAAAGTTAGTGTTATTATCCAGCTCAATCCATTTCAAATTTTGTTCTCAAGCGATAGTGTCTGTGCAGTTAAATTGATAATATTACTGAATATTAATTGTGTTTTTAACACCAACTGTGCAAGCCAAAGGTGACCGTGGAAAGTAATCGAAACTTCATCAGTTGACAGTAGTGGGGAAAAAAAAAGGAAAAGAAAACTTATAGGGATAGTTCAACTTTAGTTGTTCCTCATTGACTTGCATAGTGTTTTATTTTTCTTTCCATACTATGGAAGTCAATGGGGACCAGCAACTGAACCCTTGAAGTGCTGAACAACAAACTTAAAGCAACATACCAGTGTTTCTTACAGGATTTTGTTTTTGTAACTGCACAGAAAGAACCCCCAAAACTAAAATTTGTGCCTCACAATGTGCTAAACGATAATCCATAATATTTGTTTTGTTTATTACGTTTTGGGATATGTATTTTTAAGCACACATATGATTAACTAGTTATAATTAGACTGATTTTCATTTGACTAACCTCACATATGTGCATTTTTAATATTGCATTGCATAACATTTGCACTTCTTTCATCCTTACAAGACATACATAAATGTAATGTGAAATTACGTTACGTTACATTACATTACATTGTATTGTTTGTAGTGCCCAGTCAAGTACCCTAGTCAAAAAATTCACAAAAACACTTGGCTAGTATGTTTAGGAAATATCACACAATCAAAAGTGTGACAGCATAATTGGTAGTAGAACAAATGTTGTTAATGAACAGTTCAGTAAACAAGCTGTTAATATTACAATACAAAACAAATTCTAAAGAAACCAAAGCATCACTTTTTGTGTGGGACAGAGTTTGAGAGTTGAACAATTTCATCAATTTCCATGATTCTTTACTCTGAGATTTCTGTTTCCCTTTTTTTTTTTCATTGAATATCCGGTCTCACTTGGGAATTCACATTACGGAAGTTAAATTGGTTGTGAATGCCATTTCATGCTGGCTTTAATCCAGAATATGTTTAAGAAAGTTTTTTTTGAGCATCAACAAATCCAAGTTATTTGATGTTCGTGCACATTTTTCACAGGTGATCCACTTGCCCGCCTTGCTGTTTCTTTCACCATGCTAACCTGCTCTCGTTTTTCAGCGGCACAGAGCCGCCCGCGCTGCATTATTAATAGAGAAACGCTGTTGCCTTTGCTCCTTGGGCGCAGGCTGAAGCACTCTCTCCAAACCTTGTGGGATTTGGACTGTTTCATGCCTGTAAGATTAGTGCACACAGACTGCTTCAAAAGACAGAGAGCAAGTTGCAGGCCAGATCATAGGGGACCATGTGCTGCCATGAAGCGTGTGTGTGTGTGCCACAGCTTGCTACCCAGTCCCTGGGTGACACAACACAGTCTTTTATGTATTCACAATCGCCTTATAAATGACCCCCCAAACATATGCTCTTGTGAAGAACACCACAATATTAAAACAATGCTCATTTGGAAGGAACCTGTCTTACTTCCCAGTTCCCACAGGGCACAACACACACAAATAAAGCCCTGCAGTCTTTCTGGCAGACAGGATTCACAATAGCCTCTAGCTACTGAAAACACACACACACACACATACCCCAACGCTTCTGTAATCTTATTTGCTGTGCTTGTTAAGGCTTTGATGAATGTAATGATGGTTTGTAGAAGTTATAGCAGCTAGTAGACTAATCAGTCAGTTCTGCCACTAGCTGATGCTTTGGGACTGTCTTCTTGTGGATAATGTGACTTCAGTTCTGCTTGTTCTGTATGAAGATAGCCACAGATCTATTGATAAATAATCATACATTTAAATCGGGTGAGCAGTTAAATTTCAAGTGAAAATTTCATTTTGACTCTCTATACAAAAAAGTGGATTGCTTAGTAAATAAACAAAATCAACATTTTTAGCTGCAGACCTCTGGTTGAGACACTCAATGAAATTCATGCAATTTGTCAAATAGTTTCAAAATAGTTTATTTAATCAGAATGCACTTACTTTGAATAGTTGTTAAATGAGAAAATGTTTTTGCTCCCACAAGGTGTTGTTACATCTACCAGCAGGGACTAACTGGACCATGCTGCTAACCAGCCAAACATTGACCCATTCTCATATTAGTCGTAATTTACATAACATACAGCATTCATTTACAAAACATTGACTCTATGAGTGTTTTGAATAGTCGCCTACTAATGTTACTCATCTCATCCTCTTAAATGAATTTGGTCAGTTTCAGCTGTTTATTCATCTCTAGTAAGTCGTGAGTTCAGTCAGGTGGTTGTTTAAGGAGGTAGATCAATGTTCTCACCTTGTTTTCCAAACAGGGTATAAACTTCTGTCCTGGTCAGGAGGTTCCTGGTGTTACCACACACACGCAAGAGGAACACACCATGCAACCACTCATCTTCCACTTGGGACAGGACCCTGGGGAGAGATACCCAATCAGGTAAGGGGTTAATAATTGGACACCAGATGTCAAGAACCACACTATTCAATATGAATTCAGTACCATAAGCAATTCAGTTTTTATGTCAAATAGCCCCTGTGAAGAAAAAAAAATGTCTAATGATTCTGAAAAAATTAATTTAACTTCAATTGTATTCATAATAAGCAATATAAAACATTACAGATACAGGTAAGTGCCATGTGGTATGCAAAAATCGTTAAATTACATTTAAATATTTTGGTATCGTGACTAACATGCAAATTGTTGCCCTCTTCTTGCTGTCAATTCCAAACCGAGAACCCTTGAGCAAATATCAAGCTTCCACATCCTTTGAAAAGGGCATGTTTTGCATGTTTTTTGCAAAAGATTTGTGCCTTTATGCCAGTATTGAAAAACTGAGAGGCAGTGAATCATCGAGAACCGTTTAGTTATTGCATTGTTATTCCCTAAATTGAAAACAAATGGAATTCTTAGTTGCCTAGAGATGTTAATTCTCTTTCAAGTTCTTGGTCTGCACTTGATTTTCTGTAGGAAATTAAATTAGCTTTCCACTTTATTATTCTAATCCTACTGTAGTGCACAGGTGTATTGATAGGGGCCGTATCGTCGCATCATAAACCTTATTGCTGGCGAATTGTATAAACAAGAACGAAACCACTGATTCCACTGAATCAGCCATCCGATTCAAACTGTAATGAAGCATTGAAACTACATGGACACGAAGCTAGAATGAGTCCACGGTCTGTGACATGTTCGTCCGTCTCGGCTCTGCACAGCTCTGTGTACATCAGGAGGGACGAGGTTCTGGATATTTGGGGTCGATAGTGAGGCACAGCTGCTGATTGATCGTGCAGTCTGTAGAGGGTTTATCAAATGCGACTCTTTGTGAGCTGAAGATGACTATCTGTATTCATCGGCTGTTGACTAGAAGTTAAAATGGCAAGATAGAATAGTTATGATGGAAACACAAAAGACATCAACTCTCTAGGGAAAACACAGACTGATCAGATGTAAATGTATGTGAGGAAGATCAAACTGATTGGTGGGTCAGCAATTGTTCAATGGCATTTCCAAGGCAAAGTTATTATAGTTAAGTAAACTGAAACAAAGATCTAAAACTAATTCCCAAAAATTAACTAGAAAAACTAAATAAAAGCTTTTCCCCTTTGTTTTTAATACTTGGGTCTAGAGTTAATGGCGTGTCCAGATGGGTGGCATGGAGTGGACCGATCCACTCTTAGGTAGCGATAACAGGGATAACAGTGACTGTTTGAGAGCTACCGAGCTTGATTTTTTTAGTCAATGTGTATTCTTAAACTGTAGTGTTTGTCGACATCAGCAGTGTCTCATTCATGAGACTACGCTTTATCCTATGAAATCTGCAGGCTTGTAATTATTCATGGCATTGTGTGACCTTTTCCTTTGAATTTTGAGTTTATAACACAAATGCCATCCATTCTTACTGTAAATGTGTTAGCAGACCTCTTATATCAAACTTTGTGAATCAAATCAGATTCAGTTTCAAAATTGTGAAAAAAGTATATTAATTTACAAATGATTTGTATATGCATAATGTATTGTGAGCTTACAAAAGCTAAAAATACCCCATAAAACCTCCCAAAAACCTAAAAATAAGCCCTGTAATTGTGTCTCCAATTGGGGAATTCAGACCAATTGTAATAATAATAGCAATAATATATTTATTATTATTATTTACTGATATTTATTGTAATTTCAGTATTGTAACCTATTTATTGTGTCTTTATTGTGTAAAGTATTGAGAACAGAGTTTTCATTTACAACATCAGCATGTTTTTTCTGCGCTGACATGACCTGCCTTTATTTTGATTTGTTGCTGTTTATTTCTTCAGTAAGATTAGCCTTTGCCCCCTCAAGCCATCTTTCCCACTCTCATTCTTTATCTTTCTGTCTTCATCTGTCCTTATCCTTCTCTCTGTCTCTGTCTTTTTCTCTCTTTCCAGTGCGCAAACCCACACACACACACATATCGCTGTCTTTGTTATTCACTGAATGTTTTGGGGGGCCTACTTTAAAGATCAGAGAGAGCTGCAAATCCATTGCTTTCAACAGAGATGCTGCATTGCAAGACACAGAGGAAAGTCGCAAGGGTTTCTAAAAGCGATGCTTCACATGTGACAAAAAAAAACTTTTCTTTTTTTTTTTTTTTACTTTTGCTGCATTGCACTCTGAGGTGCTTCAGATTGGTGGGTCCAGCTTTCAGGAATCAAATTCACTCTTCTCCCTTGATTTCAAATTGACCCGGATTCAAATTTTTCCACACCTGCCAAACACGACTTACACATTACTCCTTCATTGTATGTCGACAAGCACTGCAAAATTAAATATTTTCAAAATCAATTTGATGAACAACAAATCAACTAATCTGTCTTAAGGAAGCCCTGTGTAATTCGGTTGCTCTTGTGTTCAGACTGCATGACTCTCAAGCATTTGGAAAAAAATAACATTATATAACACAATAATTATAATAGAATGGAATAGAATAGAATACGTCAAAAATTTAATTTAGTTCACCTGTATAATTGCTTCATATTAAATAGTAAACGTAATAGTAACCATTGTAATGTGTGTGTGTGTGTGTGTGTGTGTGCATTTGGCTGAGATACAACTATTTGAAAATCTGGAATCTGAGGGTGCAAAAAATCAAAATACTGAGAAAATCGCCTTTAAAGTTGTCCCAATGAAGTTGCATATTACTAATCAAAAATTAAGTTTTTATATATTTACGGTAGGACATTTACAAAACATCTTCATGGAACATGATCTTTACTTAACATGATTTTTGACAGAAAAGAAAAATCTATAATTTTGACCAATGCAATGTTTTTTTTGGCTGTGGCTAAAAATATACCCAAGCGACTTAGGACTGGTTTTGTGGTCCAGGGTCACAAATGTCTTTCATGATGCCTCTTTTTCACTCTCTTTCTCGTTAAATAGTAGTAGATTCTCTTCCATCACGCTGTTGTTGTTTTTTTTTTATATCCCTCCACTTTCTTGAAGAGAGACAGAGTAATTAATGTTGTTTTTCATCTTCTGCCTCTTCCCTGCTCTGCTGGTTTCAAGCACTAACTGTGAAAAAAGAAAGATTCATCCAAAAAAAAGAAATCAATAGCTGTGTTGAGCGCTGGAAAGGAGAGAGCTGTTAGTTTGACCATCTTCATCCTCCTTATCTTTCCAGTTTACAGTGAATGTTTTCGAATAGGTCAGAACGGTCCAGATCCAAACACCAACCCCTCCTCATTCTTCCATTCTTTCACTCGTTCCTCGTCCCCTGTGAATCTGTGTCAGGCTGCTGACCGTCTGCTCTTCTGTGCACCCAGCTGGAGCGGTCGGCGCTCATTAATCTCTGTCTACACCTAAAGAGCCACTTAAGATGATGTAGAGCCTGTCTATGCACATACCTCCAGTCCAGCGGCAGACTGACAGCACATCCCCACTGTCCCCAACAAGCCTCACACTACACACTTAGTATACGTGAAGAAACGAGATAATCCAGTTAATTAAATTAAATGTATTTCATCTCATTTGATGATTTTGATTTTTTTTTTTTTTTTTTTTTTTTTTTTTGGAATTTGATAGATACAAAATCAAAAGACACAGTGAACTATTTTTAAAGGTAAACTACCTATTTTGTCCACCTCAAAAAAGTTATACATTTAAAGAAAATGTCATTTTGAATGTGCTTTTTCTGTGCTTTTGAAAAACACGCGCATCAGATGAAGACATATCAGTATCTTAGAAAAGCTGTTTTTCTCTACATCAGGTCTTCCATCATGTTGAGATCAAATGACTAGCTGTCTAAAAATCTAAACTCCTGTAAGCTGAAACAAAGAAAATATGAGAATTTATCATGTGTTTTTTATGCAGCTACATGTTGTGTTAGAATTCTCGATTTTATGGTTAGAATTGTCAGCTTTTATATTTATACATTATCAAAGTGTTATTTGTCGAAGTTTGGTATATATTTTAAAATAATTTTAAAGCGTAATTTTTGCTGTAATGCTTAAAGGGGTCATATGATGCGATTTCAAGTTTTCCTTTGTCTTTGGAGTGTTACAAGCTGATTGGGCATAGATAAGATCCCTGAAGTTGCAAAGACTAAAGTCTCAAAACCAAAGAGATATTCTTTATCAAAGTTAAGACTCTGCCACCCCCCCCTAAAACAGCCACGCCCCCAACATATCTACCTCACTATGTGGAAATATTTGCATAATGCCGCCCAAATGTTCACGCAAAGAAAGAAGGCGTGGCTTCAGTAACCGCAGTTAGTGTTGATGCAGCCATGTCAGAGAGACGCTGTGTGTTTCTAGGCGAAAGCAAAAGCACTTTATTTAGCCTTCCGAAAATAGATTCATTTAGGAATCTTTAAGATTACTTACAACAGAACAGCAATGCATTTTATGGACGACCGTTTCGTGAACCTAGGAGAGGAGGTAATTCTGACTTTGCTATGACAATCTGGTGCTTCTGAATCAGCTACTGTTTTGTTATTAGTTTAAGTATTTGCTATTGACTGTTCAAATGCGGAGTTTTGCGCATCGTGTGTGTGTGTGTGTGCATGCGTGTGTGTGTGAGAGTGAGAGACAGGGTCACATCACAGTGGAGTCCGCTGTCTTAACAGTGGCTTGTGTACTGCAAACACCAGCTTCATCACTGTGTCTGTCACGCGACTCTGTCTTTACATTGATTTTGAAAGATGAAGCTCGCGATTATGGTAAGGGGTGTTACATTTCCGA